TTAAGTTTTGGCGATAAAACCTGGAAGCCGATTGGTTTCTATGCAGAGCTGCACCAGATTCTGCACTCTCTAGTTTTAGTAAATAACCCCCAGTGTGTGCAAGCAGTGTACCTGAATTTGACTTGGTATCAGGTTGTTGCAATCCCTGTACAGCTGATATCAGACTGGGAGAGGGAGAAGCAGCATAAGGAGCCAATCAGTTGTCCTTCAGTGTTCGTTTGACAACACCGGACATGCTGATAGTAGGTGAGAGCAGAGTGACATAGAGATGAGCTCACCAAACTGTTGCTTATCCTTTTATTAAACAGTCACAGGCTGTAAAAGTTACTTAGAGGTGATTGAGGGGCCCCTGGCTATCAGTGATCACTTGCCAGGGTCCCCCCTTCCCACTAAACTTTACCCACTCAACCCCCTCTAGCTAAACCTCAAGTTAGATTTGAAAAAAAAAATTTAAATGCCCTAATTTCTTACTTGATCCTGTGTTCACATGACACGGCCATCAATGCTTCAAGTTGGTTTAGCCCCTGGTCACATCAAAGCCGATTTTGAAATCAGGTGACATGCCGATTTCAGTTGCGATTTGCAAGACATCTAACACAGATGTCTATGCAAATCGCAACAAAAGTAGTGCATGTCCTACTTTAGAAATCAGTGCGGCTCCAACCAAGTCAGAACCGCACCGATATGACAGCTCTAACAGCAGACAATAGGGTGCGATTTGGCATATGATTTGCAAGTCGCATGGCATGCAAATCGCATGCCAAGTCGCACCCAGTGTGACCGGGGTGTTCAAGAAGAATTCATCATTGGAGTCCTCACAATAAGATAACATAACAATAAAATGACACATCCAATGAATGTGAGATAACATGATGGGGGGGGGACAAGACTGGTTGATGGGGCCTGGACAGAGAAGTATTAACCACTTCCAGTCTGGACACTTTTACCCCCTTCCTGTCCAGGGCGATTTTCAGCTTTCAGCGCTATCACACTTTGAATGACAATTGCGCGGTCATGCAACACTGTACCCATATGAATTTTTTTGCCATTTTTTTGAGACAGATAAAGTTTTATTTTGGTGGTATTTATTCACCGCTGGAATTTTTATTTTTTTGCTATGTAAATGAAAAAGTCCCAAAATTTTGAAAAAAAAAAGTGTTTTTCTTATAAAATTTTGCAAATAAATAATCTTTCATCATAAATCTTGGCCAAAATGTATTCCGTTATATTTTTAGTAAAAAAAAAAATAAGCCAAATTAGTTTATAACCAAAAATTATAATTTTTAAACATTTTCTTTACATTTTTATTTTATTTTTTTATATTATTATTTATGGGTTTTTTTTGTTTTTTTTACATACTGTCACCCTAGCAGTATAGTGTCACCATGGTGACACTGTACTACTTGTGGGGGGTGATGAAGATTTTTTTTTTTTTTTTTACAGTGATTGCTTTTACACCCATATAGGATGTAAAAGCAATCATTTCTCTTTCTCTCTAGCTGCATTCTTGCAGCCATTCAGAAATACTGAGTGAGCTGTGATTGGTCACACCTTGTCACATGGTACAAGGCTGTTGTGAATAGCCTTGTACCATGTGACCTCTGTGATCATTCACAGATTTCACACGTAGTAAGCAATGATGTCACAAGTGACATCTTGCTTACTTTGCATGTGATCACTGATTGGCAAATCAGTGATCACATGATCGGGACCTCGTACAGAGGTCCCGTCCGAGGATCGGTGTTTCACTGTGTCCGGAGGACACAGCGGGCACCGGATCGCGGTGCTGCGCGCTCTCAGGGAGCACGCACAGCTAGAAAAGGCGGGTGCCGTTTATGAACGGCAACCCGCCCCTGGAGTGCCACCACCCTGCCGTTTATAAACAGCAGGCAGACGGCAAGTGGTTAAAGGAGAATGGGTCCCTAGAATGGATCCAGTAATTGCCCCTCCGCCAAGCCCATCACCCTCCCTGTGCACCATATGTTTCCCCCTGCTGCCCAGGCCCCCCTGTGTGCCCCCACGGTGTTGCCGGCTTCCCCCCCTTTCCTTTCCACCGGCAGCTGCTGCAGGCACTAGGACAATAGGAGCCTTCAGGATGGAGAGTGGGGGAAGGTTCCAGTAAATATGTCCCATTTACCAGCCCCTTCCTTTCCTGAATGAACACAGTGAGCGATCAGTACCGATCATTGGTTGTGTTCATTCATAAATTAAGCATAGTAAACTGTGGGGGGGGGGGGTTCGGGGGGGAGGCCTGTCCAGTTGGATGTACGGGGCCCCGTGGTTTCTAACAGCAGCCCTGGGTGCAACTCTTCCTAAAACCTTGTCCTGAGTGCTCCCCATAGGTTGCTTGGTGCATCAACAAAGGATCTGCATCAGCGGTGCGCACTACCTTCTATACCGTATGGCCATTCATTCATTATTATTGTGTTGTTGTGCTGGGAGAACCATGTGGCTGGCTGGGTTATGCCGTGTGTGTTTGGGTGGGTGGGGGTGGTCGGGGGGGTTTAATGACATATTCCTGTGCTGGAGAGTAGCAGAATTCAGTTGCCTGGTAACCTGAGGACCTCATTCATCTTTTTTTTTTTTTTTTTTAAAGATCACAGAAATGTCAAAACAGATTTTATAGAGGCGGGCAGCTCAGGAAATGGAAACAGGGAATCATAGCCATTTGTTATGTTAATGAAGACAGTGAGGTTTTGTTAAAAGAGCTAATCATACCTGCAGAAGATGTGCAATCACCTGCCGACCATCATTCATCTTTGAGTGAATCAGCAGATAGCTGCGTATAGGCTAGGTACACACCTATGCAGTATGCGTTTGATCCGTTTGCGCAATTTGCGGTTTTTCATATGCATTTTTACAGTGTTTTTGCTGCTTTTTTTGCTGCATTTTGCTGTTTTTTTTCTTGTTGCTAGGCAGATTAAAAAGCAAAATGCATCAAAAACACATAAAAAAAACACTGCATGCTTTTCTGCAGCATCTCCATTGAAGTCTACAGAACCAGAAACACAACTTTTTGCATCTAAAAAAGTCCCTGACGTTTACAAAAAACGCACCAGATGAAAATGCAGAGATGGGAACGTGTCCCATAGGAAATCATGTTAAATGGACTGTAGTGCATTTCTGCAAAACACAAAACGCTGCAGAAACCGCTTAGATGTGAACCTAGACTAAGGACCAGTTCACACTATAGAAAAGCATTCCAGATGCATTCTTGCATGCACATGTGATTGGCCAAGGACCCTCAAACATGCAGATCTGGGCCTCCTCTCCAACGTTTTCCAGAATGTTCTGACAGTTCCTGGAAGGGTGGAAGGGCTCCAGAAGCCCTGACCTGTAGAACCTCCCAGCCCTCCCTGAGGTAAACTCCTGCCTCACTCCCAGGCTGACTCATCCATGACTACTATTCAGCCTCTACCTAAAAAAAAAACAAAAAACTTACAGTATCTAGCTAAACCTAGAGGACATTACGGACAATAGCTTCCATCTTCAAGGTTCTGCTCCAGCAGCTTCCCCTCTGCACAGTGCACATAGGGGGCAATTGATCAGCACTGCCGCCATTCAATGAATGTCTTTTAATTTCTTCAATGTATGCCTTTTATTTTTTTCAATGTGTAGCCACCCTGTCATCAGAGGTGTCTAGTAAATTTAGCTTTCCTGAGAAGTAGTTTGCCCAGGCCCATTTAAAGTCTTTTCACTTGGTTTTGCTTGGACAATCTTGGGCTAATGAGCATTTATGTCTCCTCTGGCAACCACTAGGAGGTTCTTGGCCAGTGGTGCATGCCAAGGAAGGATATAAGTGTCTGGGGAGTGGCTGTGGACTGTTGAGGTGTGTGCAATAATTTGCGCTGAGTAGGCCAGAGCATTTTTGGACCTAGCTCAGAATTCAAACTGCCGTACTGGTTGAGGATACAGCAGCCAAGGTAGAGAGTCAGAGGATGAAATTCTTACTGAGGGGGATTGTAGTCTGCCTCAGAGGATCCTGGCACTCCCTTGGTGGCAGAGTCTGGAGCCCTTTTGCCAGAAATGGTGGCAACAAGTCTCTCAGTTTTCCTTTAGTCTCAGCCCACTGCATTACAAAACTTCTCTGCCTTGCATCTGTCATTGGACACAGGTGCGGTTGACCATCGGTGACAGGTACATTAATCGGCCACATGCATGGACCACTGTGGTGCAGCGGCTTCACGGAATTCTAAAGGAAGTCTATAACACCCTTAATAAATATTCTCTGTGTATGTTTAATGGCCCTTGTGTGTGTTTTCAAATTTAGGGCATCCCCTTAAGTTGGGCTCTAGGAGGTCTAGCCTTTGCCCACTGGACCAGGGTGCTGGGTACCCAATATTCCTGAAACTGTTATTATCTCCTTTGCAAATTGTTTTATTGGTGTAACTGATTTCATCTGTAACATCCTTTTGAACATTCTGAGACAACAATGGACCAACAAAATACCACCAGCAAGCAACAATAGACCCCAGGCAACAACAACAGATCCCCCTGCAGACATTAATAATAGACCCCTCCTCTACAATAGATCCATCACAGCAACATAAGACCCTCTCCCAGCAATAATAGATCCCCCACCAGCAACATTAGACCTCCCTGGCTTCAATAGACCATGTCTCCGCAAAAAAAAGATCCCCTCCAGTGACAACAGATCCCTTAGCAGCCAGCATCAACAGACCTTTCTATCACATGCAATACATTCAGTGCTGGAGGTGACTGAACTGTGTTCCTTTACGTTTCTCCTGAAAAAGAGGTTTCCTATTATATACTATATATATATATATACACACACACACATATACCGTAATATAAATCTATGGATCCCACCAGGAAATCCAGTTGGCTGTTGTTGGAGGTCATGGCTCTTAGAAATTTGCTCCTTGTATTCCTCTGGATCAACTGTGGGTGTAGAATTATAACTTTTCTTTTTTTTTAATGGTTGAAATTGATGGACTTTTGTCTTTTTATCAGCCAGACTAACTATGTAACTATGTATTGTGCAGGGGCGGACTGACCATTTGGAAACTTGGGCACTGCCTCAGGGCCCGGGATCAGTAGGGGGCCCCATGAGATGCCCATCTCCCCTGGTACCTTTTTCATAGGCTTTTTTGAGTTTGGGCAAGGACACAGGGGCCCCATGATCCCCTATTGCCCGGGGGCCCCATGAGTTGTCAGTCCGCCCCTGGTATTGTGATTTACCTCAGGTTCACACCTAAGCATTTTCTGCAGCGTTTTTCAGAAACGCTGTACAGTCCATTTAACATGATTTCCTATGGGAAACGTTCACATCTGAACATTTTCACCAGGTGTGTTTTTTTCGGAAAAGGTCAGGGACTTTTTTGAATGCAAAAAAGTTGCGTTTTTGGTTTTATAGACTTCAATGGAAACGCTTCAGAAAAGCATGTGTTGCGTTTTTGCCATGTTTTTGAGGCGTTTTGCACTTTGAGTTTTAAATCTGCCTAGCAACAAGAAAAAAAGTGCATCAAAAACGCAGCAAAAACACAAACTGCAACACAAAATGCAATGCAGACACAGCTCAAATACAACCTGCATAGGTGTGAACCTAGACTTAAAAAAAGCCTCTATGTGGTACATTGTAGGGTATACCTGGAGGACCAAACATTTCCAGGGACACATTTTTTTAAAGCAAGGCTCTGTCCCTGGTAAGTAGACCTTTGGCAACTGCATTGGCTATCTACCACCTCGCTGGTGTTAAATTTAAAATACAATGCAGATTAACCGGTGAACATTAATAATAGCTCACAACGGGTATAGAGCAGCAAAGGTCAATCGGTATATATCCCGCACAGCATTTCTTTTATAACCTCAGGGAATTATTTTGCATTTGGGCATCATTTCATCTCGCATTTTCTTCCACTGTCATGAGCGCAATGCTTCTGCAGAGCAAGGAGAAGGCAGGCACCTTAACCGCCGTCATACTGACCGTTCTGCATGCTATTTCACGGTTGCCAGGGCAACCCAGGCTGGTCCAGCAGCTGACACGAATACCAAGCTCTTGTGAGGGTCATTACTTGTGAGCGCCAGGGATGTGGATGCTGGAAGAGATCCAAACTGTCTTTGTACAGGAGGGGATAATCTTGCTATGGATCTATCTCCTATTCACTATTTCCTTCTAATCTGGTTTGATGCTTTCTCCATGGGCAACCTGGCACCAGGGGCATTGATGTGTTTTCACCCATAGACATCGACGGCAAGCCAGATGTTCTTAATCTCATCAAAGGGAAACCGATTATACCTGACTTTTGATTGGCTGATGAGGATTGAAGCTTCCAATCAGCTTTCAGATTCCTAGCACTGAACTCTAGGGCATGCTAGAATTACTGGCTTTGATGATTGACTCTGCGTATGCTTGGTGGAGGGCCGCTCCAAAAATGATGGCTCTGTTGTCCTACTCTGGATGGGGTGCTGGCGTGTGTGCTAATTCAGCAAGCAGTGTGATATGTCACAAACAGCTCTGAGTGCTTAGAAGTTAGAGAACGGCCTCAGCCACAGCTCCTCCTGGTAGACCATGCCCATTGATGCGTTTCACCCCATCCTAGGACTTTGTTATAGACTCTGTGACTAAGTCCCGCACAGCAAACAACTCTGAGTGCTTGGAAGGTAGAGAATAGCCTCAGAAACAGCGCCTCCCAATAGGCCATGCCGATTTATGCAGTTTGCCCCGTCTTGGGACTTAGTCATAGACTCTGCAACCAATTCCCACACAGCAAACAGCTCTGAGTGTTTGGAAGGTAGAGAACGGCCTTAGCCACAGCTCCTACCAACAGACCATGCCCATTGATGCGTTTTGCCCTGTATTGGGACTTAGTCATAGACTCTGCAACCAATTCCCACACAGCAAACAGCTCTGAGTGCTTGGAAGGTAGAGAACGTCCTTAGCCTCAGCTCCTCCCGATAGGCCATGCCCACTGATGAGTTTTGCCCCGTCCTGGGACTTCGTCATAGACTCTGTGACTAAGTCCCGCACAGCAAACAGCTCTGCATGCTTGGATGGTAGAGAATGGCCTCAGCCACAGCGCCTCCCAATAAACCATGCCCACTGATGCTTTTTGCCGTGTCCTGGGACTCTGTGACTAAGTCCTGCACAGCAAACAGCTCTGAGTGCTTGGAAGGTAGAGAATGGCCTCAGCCACAGCTCTTCCAAATAGGCCCAGCTTAATGATGCATTTCACCCCTTCTTGGGACTTCGTCATAGACTCTGTGACTAAGTCCCACACAGCTCTGAGTGCTTGGAAAGTAGAGAATGGCCCCAGCCACAGCTCCTCCTGATAAGCCATGCCCACTGATGCATTTTGCCTTACCTTTGAGCTTAGTCATAGACTCTATGACCTCAATGAATAAGCCCCGGGGGTGGGGTGAAATGTGTCAGTTTCCACTACCTCCTGAGTCCTGTACTGAGCAGCTTCCCAACTGCATTGTGAACACAGGAGGTGGTTTGCTCTGCAAGGGCACCATTTAGAGAACACTCAAATGCAAGTGTTCTCTGACTGGATGAGGTGGAGATCACGATGTCACGGCCCCTCACTGAGAAGCAGTGGTCAGACTGTTGATAATGGCAAACACTAGACCTCCTAACTTTGACCATCAAACAAAAAGTCAGGTCAAAACAAAGTAATAAATCTCTAATGTCTGAATCACTTTGTGTATCTGGAATCACGCGATTTAGAAATTTTAGATCATGCTAACATTAGAATGACATAGGTTTGGGTGCCATTCATTCTTAATGGCTCCACAAAACATGGTGCAATTTTGGCGTGTGAAAAAAAGTGCAAAGCCCTTTGCCCAAAAAGGTGCATGAGCTTCTTTTTGTGTTTTTGAAATGCAGCACAATTACGCAAACAAAGCGAATGGGAACGTGTGTTCCCACTACACAAAGAGTGAATGGGGCCTAAAAGCAACTTTAATCTCCCTGGAGGTATTCCCGAGTGTAGCTTGGGGTAAAGTTTCAGCACCACAAGCGGTAACCCCGAGCTACACTCGGGAATACACTGCAGCGTTGCTCCGGAATCTCTTCTTCACTTACCTTGTCCTGCGCTCCTGCGATGTCCCTCCTGCAGTGTCCCCGGCAATGTCCTTCAGCCGATGCCGGCATCCGTCTTCTGGGTTCCGTCCCCTGAGACGTCGGGATGTACGGGGGACAGAACTGGCAGGAAATTTTTAAATTTTAAAAGTGACATTCACTAAATACACTAAAATCACATAGTATAACATTCCTGTATCAAACCATTTCACATACATTTTGTCCCGAGTGCTTTGTCCTGCGCCCTGCCTGCATTTTTACTGTTCTTTCTGCCTGGAAACTGAGAAACGTCCATGGCGTCCAAAAAGCGTCCCTTTAGGTCAAAAGCGGTTTTAGATCAGGCTAGAGAACAGCGATAGTAAATCAGAACCACTTGCAGAATTGAGTGATAATGATTCGTGGGGGAAATTCGTCATCAGACACTGAAAACGATTTTGTGACTTTGCTCAGCGATGTGCGAACTTGGCGCTATATTTCACATTTCAGTGTTTTTGGTTTGATTATATTATTGAATTAAATTTATTATTATTGTATTATTAATTTTTATGATTATTTATTAAATTATAATTTATGATTTCGTGTTTCAAATTTTAACATACCCGGGATGTTTACTAGACTCTTGTTCGGACAGATTTCAGTGAGTTATTCCTAAAAATTACAGGCCTACAATAAAAAAACAACATATTTCCATGCAAGAAAATGTACCGCTTTGAGCACAGAAATACGGACATAATCAGACCGCTAGGGAGGCTACAAGAAAATCTGTTACAAGTCCCGAATGGAGCATATAATGAGAAGATGAACAAGCAGTTGTTACCATATGGATGCATTTGCATTTTTCCATTGCACTTGACGCTGGTCAATTCACACAATAATACTTGTTGTGTTAAGGAAGTACTTTGAAATCAATAGGCATCCAATGCGACAAAACGTCCCAAAAATGCCACTACAATTTGGCTGCAGTGCACCACAATGCACTATGGTGTGTAGCGTATTGCACTACATGTGTAGCCCCTTAGTGTGTTGGGGTGCTATTCAAACTGTCTTTATGCATGTAACATGGATTGTCATGCATGGATGTAAATCTGAAGGGTTCATTTACACATGTGTTGCTCTGTGAAGAGCAATCCACAGTGAATTACTTTTCATAGAGCAGTGCAAGCTGACCTGATTTAGGAGTGTGATATTGCTGCCAAGGGGGGGGCATACTTTTTCCATCATACCTGTGGCATGCATATGTCCTCATTAGGTTGTCTTTGTGGCTTAAGGGGGGGTGGGTACTAAAGATGCTGCTTAATGGTCTATTTTTTCAGCCCCCCCCAACCGAAATTATTAACTAAGCCTAAATTAAAGCATGTCTAAAAGGATCAATAGATCCAGAAATATAAACAGCTCAAATGGTATGCAAATCACTTTTCCTAAAAAAAAAAAAAGTCTAGTTTGGCCCTGCCCCCTTCCACTTCCTGAACCTGTTTATTGGTCCTTTAATGTGATGAGCAACCTCCTACTGAGCTCAAACCATAAAACGAACCTTCACCCTTTTTTTTTAAGAAAAAATTGTAAAAAAAAAGAAAAGAAAGGTTATAAAAAAGAAAGAAAAATATTTTTTTTACATACTGTCACAAGTCAGTGTCCCTGATCACCGCCACACCAATTATATGATGACTCTGTACTGCACTGGTGGCAGTAATTTATTTATTTTTTTTATATTGTGAAAAAAAACATTTCGCATTTCTTCATTTTCCAAAAAATTGTGACAAAAAATTACCACTTCAAAAAACTCACCATGCCTCTTAAATACCTCAGACTGTCTACTTTCCAAAAAGGGGTCATTTGGGGGCCATTTGTACTGTCCTGGGATGTTAGGGGCCACAAGAAATGAGATAGATCGTCAGTACATCAGGATTGTTCAATATATACATAGATATATGTACAGTATGTGTGTGTGTGTATATATATATATTATTATTATTATTATACAGGATTTCAGGATTTATATAGCGCCAACAGTTTGCTCAGCGTTTTACAATATAATATATATATATTATAATTTGTGGACTCTAAAACATTCCTATAGACTACATAATATACACTGATTGGGTTATTTTCTCCAAAGAAATGTAGCAGAATGCATTTTAGTCTAAATTTATGAAGAACA